CCCAAATGAACACTTAATTCTCCCTCGTGCCTTGCTCTAGACTACCTCTGTTGGTGGTTTACAGGAGTGTGCTGTGTTCTCTTCCTGAAAGCCCAAGGCCAAGCAGTGAGCCTGTTGCTGGCATTGCAGCTGGGACAAAGGACGGCCTTTGCAGACCGTGCAGTCATCTGGGCACATGCAGAGCTTTGAAGTGCCTCATAATACGGTAAATATTGCAAGCCAACAGCTTTCTAGATTGCGATATAAATAAGGTTGGTGATGACAAAATGTTTTAGTATAAAGACATCAGTTTAACTGAAGAAATCACAGCAATTAGTCCTCACTGTGATGAGGATGAAAGAGCCTTCGAGACTGCCTGCCACCTCCGCCTGGTTTCTACATTTCCCTAAGGAACCTTCTGGCTATGAATTTGGCTTTCCAGTTATTCTGAAACCAGAAAGGAAGTGTCTTCATGTGACTGTCCCCCAAAGAAAGTTAATAATTGGTCATGTGATCTTTGCTTTTAAAATATTTACTCCTTTTAACACAGTAATTTTATTTCCTATGAGAATAACCACTATGGTAAAAAAAATGCATAAAAATGTTAATAACGGCATCATTTCTAATGGCAAAAATGTTGGAATAACCAATGTTATAGATCTAAGAATGGTTTGGTAAAACACTTGATTCATTCTTATATATGCTGTCATTAAAAACATAATGTCTACATAATGATATAGAAAAATGCTCACAATATAACATTAAGTGAGAAAAGAAGATAAAACTTTACCATGATTCAGAATTTATAAATGTTATAAGTGTGGGGGGTATAAAATACTAGAAAGATACCAAAATATTAATGATTGTATCAAATGATAATTTTAAAAACGGTTCTTAATCTACTTTATATTTTCCTCTATCTTATATTTTTTGTAATTTCTATATTTTGCATGAGTATATAATACTTTTTAAATCAGAAAACTGCATAAATTTACATCTACTTAAGTAGTATTTTAGTCAAAAGTTATTTCCTTTTAGAGACATACCACATTTTTTTCTATGTTTTCCCCCCATCAGAAAAGTACGTTTACTTTGCAGAGGCCACTAAACTCTTAAGTTAGTTATAAAAATCATTAAGGATAGAGCCCCTAAGAAGATGCAGTTTTAAAATGTGATTTCAATAAAGGTATAAATGCTGTAGTTCAGGAAACTGTAAGACTTTTCATCATTAAGTGTGATCGCAGTGATGAAATAATACAATTAAAATTCTTACTCAACATCTAATGCCCAGATGCCTATAACTCATCAGGTGCTTGAGGAGTTAATTTCCAGAAAAATGAGTAAGTAGCATGAGTTGTGACATATCTATTATCCTACCCCCTCCCCCCATCTCTGAAAATATCCAGAATTTGCTTTAAAAGCTATGCAAAAATGGCAACCCCCCATGCAGATAAAAAAGATCAAGGGAGGGAATGAAAGATGAAGCAGCAGATGAGATAATAGACAAGATAATTACAGAGCTTTAAAAGCCTTGGATTTATTTTTAAGATGTAAGAGCTCTATTTAGAAAAGCCCATAGCTAACTTTATGTGAATCTTGAATGAATTGTTCTGAAACATGTGAATAGTAATAAAATGAAGGAAAGAAGAGTTTGCTTTGTTTTCTGTGCAGTGACTGTCCCGACTCTCCCCATGGCTAAGGTGGCCTGGTGATGTTCCGTCCTTTACCTGAAAGGTTAATGCCACTCACCTCCCCATAGGTAGATCACAGCTTGGGGTTTTGTAGGACAAGCTATTTCCCTCTCTGACTTTTCACCATCGCCCATAAAATAAAATTGCCGTGGTTTCAAAAGAATTAAGAACCATCTTTCTGCCTCTCTCTCACTTCCCAAGAAAGGAATAGTAACATCTCCATTGTGAGGTTAAGAACAAATGAAACCTCTTCTTTGCTTTTGTTTTTAAGCTCATCTGTTTCAGATAGTACTTGCCCTTTTCTCTGGAATTTGCCCATTGTCCACATGCAGCATTCTCTCCTTGTATAGACCATTCTCTGTCATGCTCTGACCTAGAGCTGTGAGTTCTGCAGTCTTCTGTTTGCACTACTTTGGGTTGGATGGGCAAATAGTTACCCATGGCCTAGGTGCAAGGACTAGTGAGTGAGTAAGAGCTGATCTTTTGGCCTCTATCTAACTCAGTTGTCTGTTTTTAGGTGGCTCCAAATTAGGAAAGAGAAAAGAGTTTGACTGCTACTTACTTCAGAGAACCCAAAAGGGCTGCATTTCCTTGAGCGGTCTTCAACTTACACTGACATATCCACATTAGTTCAGGATGGATCTGTTACTTAGGCAACAAGATAAGGCTATATATTGCCAGTATTGCCAATGAAGTGAAAGGTTGAGGTTTAGGCCACAAAATACATTCTAATTGGCACATAGTCTAATTGACACAATTTATAGGTATAATTTATCTGAATGCGGGATTCTGGAAAACAAAATCTCAGCATTATTGGGAAGGATGGATTGTCTATTGATGACTTTAGGATTAGAGGAAGCACTGTGGCTTCTTGGGGAAGAGAATGAATTAGGAATTTATTTTGAAAAATGATTTATAAGGAATTTTAGTTTATTTCAATGTAGAGTCCAAATCTGCATGGTATTGTTACGCATTTTCAGCAAACGACAAAGTTGGAGCCCCATTCCTTGAGTGTGTGGAGATGCAGTTCCTTAAGTGCAGGCAAACAACTTCCCTTTAAAACTAAACCGTGTGTTATGTCAGCCTTGGGCCTTCAGGACGTGATGCTAAAACAGAAGTAAACAAGCAAAGGGCCAACTGTGTGAGAGAAAATGGGAGACTGTATTCAAGTCTGGCACTGAGTGTGGGGAAAGAAAAAGGAAAGGTTGAAAAGAAGCCTCTGAGCAGCAAGGCTGTCGGGGAGTCCCATGTCTCCCAGGAATGAGCCTGCCTCAGCATCTCTGCTCAGTGAAGCCCATGACTGAAATCACCCTGGGAAACGTGGCCAGGCACAACTCACAGGTGTGTGGTTGAATTTCGGAGTGTCCTACCTGGGGCCCTTGGTCAAATTGCTCCCCGTCATTGCGGCCTGCAAAGCGCATTATCAAGGCCACCAGACCCAGGATTTAGTAACCAAGAGAAACAAAACTAGATAGTTTTCAAAGCTGTAGTCCCACTGTAATTTGCTAACAGTACTCCACCAGTGGAACGTTTACTTACCTAGGAAGCAACTGACTGAGAAAATCACTATTTTTAGTATGTCATGCACATGATTGAGAAACAGTCAAAGGAAAACCATTTGCTAATGAACAAGACGAGCTCAAAGGTATTCAGAATTTGCCAAGACTCATTCATTAGTGCCCCACCCTCTGGTAAAGTGCTGTCTGCAGTATTCCACACTGTTTTCTTTCATCAAGGAAAGTGTTTTCTCTGAATACTAGGTTCCTGTTACCTACTAAGTATCTGAATTCCCAATGTGTGGGGTGGGTGGGTGTGTGTGTGTGTGTGTGTGTGTGATGCGTGCCGTGAGAGACCTGAGGAGAGAGGCAGAGAGATTGGAGATCCCTAGAGCTCGAACACATGTCAGTGCTCAGTCAATAGCTGGTTGGCACATGTGGAACTAAACTTAAACATATGTTTTTGGTTTAAAAGACCTTGTCCTGACTGCCAGAGGAAGAGAGCAGTCTTAAAGTTTGCTTTTTAACCATCCTGAATTTATAATAGGGTGGTCATATGAATCAAAACATAATAAAATACATTTATCGGAAACACATTTGTACCAGAAGAATAGGGTCACAATAATCTATCTAAAAGGTTTATGGGGGATTATTCTAGGCATTTATTTTTCAAAGCTTTTGCATATTTCACATAAGCCTGTGTAATGTAATTTTTATAATGGTTCCTCAGATAAATCATTTTTACTATCGCGGAGATCTTTTTTCATCTGAGTGGATGAGGATGAGGTGATGTTTCTTTGTTGTAAAATTGAGAATCTGAAATGGTTTATAGGGTACAGCCTCACCAAATCTCTTGATTTTTGCCATGCAATGGGATGAGGCACAAGTGTTCCCTAAAATAGGTATGCTAGCTACATAGTCCTGTCCACATAGAATCACTTTCTGATCACCAAGGTAATCTAAGAGCAGAATATTTGGTCTTCAGAACTTTTCACCTTCATTAAGTAGCTGTTTGAGTTGTGTACCAACATTATGCCCTTCATTTGATGAAAAAATGTTTAAAAGTGGCTGTGTGAAACGTACTATTTCATATTGCAGGGATATTGTTGAAACCATTGTCTATTATATTAAAATATTCCCTCCTTGAAGAAATTTCTTCTATCTCAATTCTTGGGAATATTGTGCTTTCTTCAGCATACCTGACAAATGCTTCCTTCCAGGCACTTGGAGTCTTGATTCTGATCATGCTTTTCTCTTCTCTTTGGCCAGTGGCAATCTCAAAGGCAAATTCACAGCTAAATTTTTATCATTGTGCAAACATCTTAGTGCACACATCTGTATCTAAAATTTACCTCTATTCTACTCTAGAAGAGTTATTTGTTATTTTACTTTAATATGTGTGTTTGCAGTTTGTTGCAATTAACTTTTGGAAAAAAATATATGGTGTAAGTAAAAAGCAATGTAAATTTTCTGGAGTTTTACAGTGAACATAAACCAAATCTAATTCATTTCAGATCCCCAAGAGATTTTCTTCTTTTTCTCATTATCTCTAGGACTGAAAATGGCATTGTACCTCAACTCCTAAAAGAAGGCAGTTAATCAACAACACAGCATCTTGTGAGAAGTCACATCTCTGCTTTACTGAAGTGAGACTGTGAGCCGATTTTGACAATAGATGCATTCCATGAATGCATGCTCGTGTGTGTGCGTGCGTGTGCGTGTGCGTGTGTGTGTGTGTGAATAACAGAAGGTTTTGAGATACACCAGAAGATAAACAAAGAAGATGATAACATTTCACCTAGTTTCCCTCTCCTGCCTCTCCCTCCAAAATATTTTGGTCTTCCAGAGCTGAGTCACATTGACAAGCTCAAGTCTCTCTAAAAGCACATCTCTTGTCCTTGCATTGCCACGGACTCAGGTACCTGAACTCTTTCTTATGTGTGGAACACACTTCTACTTTTGAACTCTAACCCGTTCCTTCATTGCCCTTCCTAGCTTGGTTTTCTTCCTTAGTTTTCTTCTGTTCTTCACAGCCTTCAACAGTGAGCAAAGTAACATCTGATGCTCTTGTTACACAGCTTTTTTTTAGAGGCCATTACAAACTTACAGAGATAAAAATAACAATATGAAGGATGTATTGTGCAAATCTTTTTAAAAGCCTGCAAAACAGCAGAAAGAAATCAATTAGAATTGCCATGGCAACTACCAACAATTTTATATGCAAGAACGAAATAAAATAAGAAAAGTAACAAAATAGAAAATGCATAAACCGATTCAAATACCATGAAGTGTTTATGAAGTAAACACTGTAGAGTGAAGCTGCAAGAAAATAGATTTCATTAAGGTAACTGAAACATAGTTTAACTGTTCATTACAAATGAGCGAGATCTATATCATGAAATAAACTCTTAATGGTGAGCTCTTAATGATATAGTTTTTTGGCTAAAATAATTTGTGGAAAACAAGTTTAGACAAATCAGGAGTAAATTAAAATGTATAAAGTACAATTAAAAATAATATTTTTCCAAGTATACATTTCTTCTAGGAATACTGAAAGCTCATATATTACATTTGATAGCTAGAGATAAAGAAGTGGAACAGGATATGTAACTAAAATACCTGATGGAAATTTGAAAAGAACAGAATTCTAGAACATGAGTGCTGGATTTCTGTCCTCACCTTCCACGGTTAAAGTATCGACTTCCTCATCCTAAATCACTGATTTTCAATCCTGCCCGCACATAAGAATCATCGGGGTCATCCGGATCTATGTATCCCAACATTGCAATGTCTGGAACCCATACCAAACCCAATACATTAGAATGCCTGAGGGTGTGACCTGGTCATTTGCGTGTTTAAGGCTTTCACATGAGTATGTATGCAGGCAGTGTTGGGACGCAGGGCTGAATCCATTCCTTGGGCTGCCTGCACTCTTATCTACCTACAGTAGTGTCAGGAAATTCCATACCTCCCTGTTTGGCTTGCTGTGTGTGGTAGGCAGAATAGGGGCCCTCCCAGTAGATGTGTTTCCTAATCCCTGGAACCTGCGAATGTTAGGTCTCACGGCAAAGGAGAATTAAGGTTGCAAATGGCTTTAAGTTTGATAACCAGCTGACATAAAAATAGGAGAAATATTCAAGTGAGCTCAATATAATCACCAGGGTTCTTATGAGTGGAAGAGAGGCAGAAGAAAAAGAACCAGAGGGGCAGCTATGTAAGAAGGATGTAGCCTCACTGCTGAAGGAAGGGGTCACCAGCAAGATATGTGGACAGTCCTCAATTGCCGGAAAGGCAAAGAAGCAGATTCTCCTCTAGAGTCTCCAGAGGGATGTGGCCCTCACAACGCCTCTATTTTAGCCCTGCGAGACCCATGTCAATCTTCAAACCTACAGATTTGTAAAACAGTGAATTTGTATTGTTTTAAGCCACTAAGTCTGTGGTAACTGGGTATCGCAGCAATAGAAAACTATACATTTTGTCTCTATAAATCATCCCCCCAAATCCTGGGTCTTGTGTAAGTCCAAAACACTCAGTACAGTTTAAACATCTAAGACGTTTTTCACACTCCTGCCATGTTGCTACCGTGAGGCTCCCCTTCGCGGTCCCATGGAAGATTCTTGCTCAGTCTGAAATACTGCCTCACTATCCCAATTCCCATTCAGGCCTCTGCAGTCCTTTCGGAGATGCAGCTGCATCCATTTCAATCTTAGTCAAAAGTTCCCTACAGCTTTTCTCTCTTAGCTTCTCCAATGGCCTCTCTTCCTTTCAGGAATCTATACTCAGAGTTTAAATAACTTTCACTTTTCTAACCTAAAACATAAGTTGTCTGATGAGACCTCCTTTTTATGGGTGAAAAACAACTTTTTTCAAGAGGCAGCTTCTGTGTGGCCTGTCCTCTGTAACTGCTAGGAACCACCACTGCAGGACACAGGGTCCTGCACCTACCTCTGGAAGTAGCCTGTACCTACTTCTGGAAGTAGAGCTCGCTTCAGTACCACCAGGATTCCTCTTCTCCCTTCTTCCTAAACATGAGTTCCAAAGCTGGTTATCTGCATGTCCCTTCTCATATGGAGTTAAAAACACAAATCAATTCATCTCCAGAAGAGCATTCTATCCTAGAGGATCTCCCACCCGAACCTGAGAATCACAGAGGCTCACAGTTAACGAGAGGAAACCACAGTTAAACTGTTCATACTTTTCACAGGATCTTTTGGATCCTAAGCAACGTTTATATGTCAATCAGCCTGGGGTGAGTTAGAGAGGTAATGGAAGGACAATCTAAATTTAAGAAAGACATCACCACCATTGAAGATATTACTCGGAAAATAACATTGATGGTTCCACTGTGACATCGTGGCATCCTGTGTATGATGGTAATCTCACCTTTTCCTACTTACTGCACTGGAGTTCATCTCCATCGATACCACCATTCAACCTCTATGAGGAAACACTTGATATTCACTGCTAATGGTGACGTGCAGGCTGATACCTGAAATTTCATTCTTCTCACCACTTCGCTTTCCTCTGTAGAGAAAGCACCAGGTGTACTTCTAATTCTGTCCTAACACAGGGATAGCTGTGTGTTCAAGTATAATGATGCTATTTTATAGTTGTGCCTGCCTTGAAATAAAACATAATCAGTAAGGAATTCTTGAAAACGTGTAAGTGGAAATAGCAAAGTGGACGTGTCACTACGGTATATGAGGAGCACCTGGTAGAACAGCACTGAGGTGGGGCAGGGGGGCGGATTTGGGAAACGGGGAGAGAGCAAAATTATAAGCGAGATTGATTGAGTGCAAACCAGTGAAATCATGAAATTTATGTTTATTATTCCTTTCCTTTCAAGTTCCAGAGTCAGGGATTTTGTTGTGGGTGGAAACTGTACTGGATTATGGTATGCAAATTACATTTCAATAGAGCAGTTAATTTTTCAAAAGGCACTGATACCTTTTTCAGCTTTAGATCCAGTGTTTCCTGTAGGTTGAGAGGTGTCCTGGAATCCCAATCCAATTTCGGGAGAAAGAGGCAGCTTAATGAGACTGGAGGAGTGGATGTATTCTGTTCTTCATTCCTGTCACTTCAGCCAAGTAATTTAATCCACTCTGTCTCCTAGAACAGGCGAAGCTTATTTAATGTCGTGCAAAGTGTTTACCAATGCAAGAATCAGCTTCAAAAGTGAGTATTTTAAAGTCTCTAATGGGCTCTGCTTAGAACTAAAGGTTATGAAGGAAAGCATTTCATTTTGATTTTCTCCTCAATATTGAGGGGGCTAATACTGGTAAATGTTGTAATGCAAATAACTTAGAATCCTGAGTGTCTTTGTAAAGCCAACAGAAAACATGGAATCCTTGTGGGGAAAATTATGTAAGTAGGTTATCTGGAGTACTCTAAATGAATAAATAGTGTGCTGGGGAGACTGTATACACATAATACATGTTGGGAAGTTCAACATATGTTCTGTATAATGATTGGTAAATATATAAGACTCTAACAGCAACAACAATTCAAAGAGAAGTATATACACATGCCTTCCTACAGTTAGCAGATTAAAAACATAAGGTCTAATTGTTCTTTTTGTTTCGTTTTTGTGATTTTCGTGTTGACATCAAGAAAATACATTGCAGTGATTTCGGTGCTACCCAGGCCTCAGTTTGGGGGCCAGCTCTACCACAAACTAGCTTTTTGAACTTTTCAACCCTGGACAGGTTACTTTATCTCTCTAAATCCCTGTTTTCTTATAAGCTTAAAAGTATGAATAAAAAAAATACCATGAGTCATTATTGGGAAGAAATAATATATGCAATAAAAATATGAATAAAGACTACCATGGTTGTTATTGGGAAGAAATAATGTGTGCAAAGTACCTTGCACATAAGTGGCGCTTATTAAATGTTAGTCTCCTCCCTCCCCTTTAATGAGTCTGTTATGCCTAATAACAACTGGAAATCAGTCTTTGGTAAAAACAAAGGAACAGAAAGGAATGAAAGAATTCGAATGGGCCAGGAATATAAAAGATGGTGAAAGTTTCCTTATATTGTGTGGCAAATAAATTAGCCAAGCCAATCATAAATTGATTTTTCTCAATATACTTCCACTGTACCTAATAAACTCCTGCTCATATTTGTATTTGGAGATACAGAATATCCCAAAAAAGAAAACAGGACCAAATTCAGTGCTTTTAAGACCATCTTAAGAAGGTTTGCCATTCAGAAAAGCATAAGTAAAACCCTAAAGCAGTGATCTTTGAAGTGTGGAACATAAAATCAATATAATAGTCTCAAACAGCATTTAAAAAAGTTAAACAGAGTAGAATGGAACATTTCAGAGTGCATCATATAGAATAAGTGTAAGCTTTATTCCATGAAACTATTATTTTAGATACACACGTACACCATGCATGTGTGTGTATCAGGTCATAATGTAAATGGTGTTTCTTACTGTGAGTTGTGGTAAGGAAAAAAAAAAATACTTAAAAGCCACTGTTCAAAAGAAAGAAATAGGTATGTTTCTTTTCAATAAACTAGATTCTCTCTTGGCCTTGTTCAAAGACATTGCGTTTAGGGAATGTAGACTTCTACCTCAAGATTCTTGTCCTTGACTCATCTCCAGACCATTCCCATTATTTCACATCATGATGAACTTTTACCAATATTTCCATAAATTTCATCAGGAAAAGATATAAGAAACGTTATCAAGTTGAAGTAAGAAAAAAATGTAAAAGGATATTTTTACTTTCTTCAGATTCCTGATAGCTCCTCCGAAAGATAGTACCAAAAAAATATGAGACAGGAAATGCCAGATAAACTCATTCTGCTTATTTCTAAAGAATGTTTTCTGCCTGTAATTTCAGCACATTGGGAGTCCAAGGCGGGCAGATAATGAGGTCAAGAGATTGAAACCAGCCTGCCCAACACGGTGAAACCCCGTCTCTACTACAAATACAAAAATTAGCTGGGTGTGGTGGAGTGTGCCTGTAATCCCAGCTACTTTGGGAGGCTGAAGCAGAAGAATCACTTGAACCCAGAAGGCAGAGGTTACAGTGAGCCGAGATCGCACCACTACACTCCAGCCTGGCGACACAGCGAGATTCCGTCTCAAAAAACAAAACTTGTTTGCCTAAATCGTCCGAAGGCCACAGATGAATGAAAGCATTTAAATGCACAGATAGACGTAAGATATTGCAAAGGAATTGACTCCAAAAGAGTCTTGGTTAAAAAAGGAAAAACAACTGGGCTATATAGAAGCTAATGCTTAATTAACTCCTCCTCTGGGCCTAACATTCCATCAAGTGCTGTAACATAATAATTATTATTTAGTCCGTAAGCAAAGGCAGGTAGTATATATGCCCACTTCACAGCTGAGAAAAAATGAGCCTCTGACTGGTTACTAGCCCAAGACACCCACAATCCTGACCCACATCTGTCTGCCTCATTCCAAGCCGAGCTGTTTCTGCCCCGCTTTTTCTTGAAGCACCTGTCCTTCAAGTCCTGCTTCTTGCTTTCCTGCCTTTTTGCCCCATGGAAACCATCCTTTGACTCCCGTTAGTGCTTCATGCTTCCTTCCCATCAGAACTTACTCTCCATATTAAGTTATTTGTATCAAAATGCAGGTAATGATGTGGCATTTCCTCGCATTTGTAATAGGAATCAGACCTGCAGCTATAAGAGACTCCTCCAAGGTGGAATTTCAATCATCAAGAAAAAGGTCAGGGAAGTTTTGGGGATGGGAGATGGGGAAAGAAGAAAGGGAAAGGAGTATTTTACGATGCTCTTATATCTTACCAGTGCAACCTTGTTCATCGGATGAAATGTTGTCCAACTTCTAATTTCCCTTCAGGAGCCCCATGTCTCGCCTATGTGCTTTGCATTCCATATCTATTTCACTCCCGTCTGTTTGTTTACATACTGAGGCTTTTCTTGTATAAAGCTAAAACAAATTACAGTTAAGTAGGCCACTAAAATGTTTTTTAGACTATCAATTTGGCAGAGACCTCATTTTCTTCTGCCTCTGTAATTCCATTCTGTACACCCTCAATGAATGCACAAGCAAAAAGCAACTGGCAGATAGAATTAAGACTCCGTGAAAAGAAGTAACCATTGTCTCCCTTCTACCAGTGCTCAGGTTCCTTATTGTGAAGTTGATGTTTGGTCCTTAGATTTTGAGGACTCAGAAGTCCAGTTCTGCCAACAAATAAAGGTACTAGGGCCCTCCTCCTTCACCTCACCAGGTGTCAGGATTCTCCTTTGGTCTTACTGGTTCTGGTTTCTCCTTAAAAGGTAGCCACATGGTAATGGCTTATTAAAGATGGTTGGATGAGACAGGCATTGAGTGTAGACTGAGCAAATTCCCACAGACTTAGTCATGTCAGTATCAGCACAGGCCTTTGGGTATAGGTTTATAACGTTTCTACTAACGGAAAATCATGAGGACAATCCCCTATATTATCATCTGGAAACGATGTCTTGCCTTTCACTTTTAGGTCTATAATTCATCTATAATAAATATGTTGTGAGGAAGACATAAAATTTATTCTTTCTTTCCATTGAATATCTATTGGTCCCAGTTCCTTCTATTGAAATGACTATCCTTTCCCTTCTTCCCCACATTGCCTCTTTTATTCAAATTCAAGGGTCCAAATATGTGTGTGTCTATTCCTTTATTCCCTCTGTACTGCCTTCAGCTGTTTGTCTAGCCTTATGCCAATGCCATACTCATAGGATATCAGATAGAATGAGTCCCCTGACTTTGTTATACATCTTTAAGAAAACCTTGGCTATTTTTAGCTTTAAAGTTAAAAATAAAATTTTAGAATCGGTTTATCCAGTTCCATTAACCAATCTGTTGAGATTTTCATTGAGATCCCATTGAATCTATATATAAATTTTGAAAGCATTATAATTTGGATAATTACATTTTCAATTTCCAATATATGTTCATAAGATACCTCTCCAGTCACTAGGTCTTCCTAAATGTCTCTTGATAAATCTTTATAGTTCTACCAGAAAAGGCATCAGATAGCTTTTATTTAGATGTATTTCTGAGTGTATAATATTTTGGTAATATTTAAAATCAAGCCTTTAAAATATTTTATCTGTTGCCAAAGATAATGACTTTTTTGTATTGAAATTTAGCCAGCAAATTTGTATATTCAGTTACAAATTAGAATAAATGTATATTATTTTGAATTTTCTGCAACCATATATTCTGTAAATAATAACAGATTTTCTTCTATTTTTCCAATGCTTTCTTTTTTAATTTGTTTTTTATTTCACTAGTTTTTGGAGTACAGGTGGGTTTTGGTTATTTGGCTAAGTTCTTTAGCAGGGATTTCTGAGATCTTAGTGCACCTCTCATCCGAGCAGTGTACACTGTATCTAATATGTAGGTTTTTAGCCCTCACCCCTCTCTGAACCTTCCCCTCCAAGGCCTCAAAGTCTGTTGTATCATTCTTATGCCTTTGCATTCCTTATATCTTAGCTCTCACTTATAGATAAGAATATACAATCTTGGTTTTCCATTCCTGAGTTACTTCACTTAGAATAATAGCCTCCAACTCCACCCATGTTGCTGCAAAAGACATTATTTCATTCGTTTTTATTGCTGAGTAGTATTCCATGGTGTATATACACCACATTTTCTTTATCCACTCGTTAGTTGATGGGCACTTATCTAATCCTTTTTTTTCTTTCTTGCTTTGCTGTATCAGCAAGTTATGTTAAAAAGCATAATGTTGAAAAGAGTATCTTTGCCCTCTTCCTGATCATAGAGGAAACACTTTCAACTATTTAAGAATGTTATAAGGATTTCTTTTTTACTGCAACTTTTTTACAAATTTTTATTATGAATCAATGAATACAATTTGATGGTATTGTACCTTATATTTCTAGGAAAATATAACTTGGTCATAATGCTTGTTAATATTTTATTTAAGACTTTTGCGGCCGGGCGCAGTGACTCAAGCCTGTAATCCCAGCACTTTGGGAGGCCGAGGCGGGTGGATCACGAGGTCAAGAGATCGAGACCATCCCGGTCAACATAGTGAAACCCTGTCTCTACTAAAAACACAAAAAATTAGCTGGGCATGGTGGCGCATGCCTGTAATCCCAGCTACTCAGGAGGCTGAGGCAGGAGAATTGCCTGAACCCAGGAGGCGGAGGTTGCGGTGAGCCGAGATCGCGCCATTGCACTCCAGCCTGGGTAACAAGAGTGAAACTCTATCTCAAAAAAAAAAAAAAAAAGACTTTTGCATCTATATTCATGAATGAAAATGGCTGATACCTTTTCCTTTTTTTATTGTATTTGTTAGCATTTCTTATCAAGATTATGTGCTAGTCTTACAAAGCGATTTTAGGACTTCACTCCATTTTTAAAATTTTTAAACCTATAATAATTTCTTCCTTAAAGTAGGTAGAACTTACCATTGAAACTATCTGGGGGATTTAGAGTTCTGTTTGTGGAGAGGATTTTAATCGTTGAGTCAATTATTGGGATCCATTCAGTCTCCATTTCTTGAATAAGTTAATTTGCCTAAGAATTTCTCCATTTCATCTAAATGTTCAAGTTTGTTGACATAAACTTGCTCATAGTATCTTCTTTTCATCTTTTTAATATCTGTAGAATCTGTAGGAATATCCTTGTTTTCATTCTTGATATTGATGAATGGGCCTTCTTTCTCCTTTTCTGGATCAATTCTGCCAAGGCTTCATCTCTTCCATCGACTTGTCCAAGGAACTAACTTTTAGCTTTGTTGATCCTCTCTGTCGTATGTTTATTTTACTTTCTTAACGTTTGCCCAAATCATTATTTTTATTTCTAATTTTTCTGGGATTGGTTTGCTGTTCTTTAATAGTATTTTACAAGAATACTTAGGTCACTGAATTTTTTTAGCCTTTCTTCTTTTCTAACGTAAGTAGGTACCGTACTGCATTAGCTGCTGTCCATAAGCTTTAATTTGTTGTATTTCTATCACCATTTAGTTCAAATTATTTCTAATCTCCATTGTGAATTCTTCTTTTCCCCATTACTTATTTAGAAGTGTATTTTTTTCATTTCCAAATTAATTTTTGTTAATATCTGGCATAACTTCATTGAATTAGAAAACATATTCTACTGAGAATTTTGTGAATGTGCACGCTTGAAAAGAATAAGTGTTCTGCAGCTGCGTCTATTAGGTCAGTTTTGTTAATTGTGTTATTTAAGTCTTGTATTTTCCTCCTTTGATGTTTTATTATTCTGTAAGTTACTGAGTCATACTAAAAATGTCTCACTGTAATCGTGGATTTGTCTATTTTTCATTTAATTATATCACTGTTTTCATCTTGTATTTTGAGACCTTTTTAAAATATTAGGTGTTAAAATGTTATTTGGTGTGTGCAAATTTTAAATTGTTATTTCCTCATCATATATAGGACATTTTATCATTATGTAGAGATGTATTTATAGAATTTATTATACTACATTTATTTTATGCAGAATATATTAGTATAGCTATAGCTGATTTCTTTGGGTTGGTATTTAAAAGATTCTTTTCACTCAAATTTTCTATATCCTTATATTTTAGATAAGTTTTTTATAAGCAGCACAAAATTGGGTTTTCTTTTGTTTTCAATACAATTTGCACATTTTGCTTTCAAATTGAGTTTTTGATCCTTTTATATTCAATGTAAATGCTCATATATTTAAGTTTATCATCTTATTTTGTGCTACTTATCCCAATTGTTCTTATTTGGATTGTTTAATCATTCCAGTTTCTGTCTTTACTAGCTTCATAGTTGTAATTTTTCAATTTTTTAAAGTAATTTAACTACAAGTAACAACATGTTTTTTTGCCGTATTAAACTTCAGCGTTAATTGAAAAACCTTCCATTGCTTGCTGGCTTCCTTTGTTACTATTGAGAAGTCAGTTCCCAGTCTAACTGTTCTTTTTTTGAAAGTAAATTGCTTTTTTCTGATGCTTTTAAGATTTTTGTCTGTCTATTGTTGTCAGAAGTTTCACTACAATGTCTGGTTATGAGTTTCCTATAAATTGTTTTGCTTAGGATACATGGAGATTCTTCAAGTTATGGATTGATATCATTTTTAGTTTTGAAAAATTCAGAGCTGTTATTTCTTCCAGTTTTATATCTGTCCTGTTCCCTTCACATTTTCTGGGCTAGAACTCGTCACTGATACCACTTAGGCCTCTTATCCACTCTTTTACAATTCCTCCCTTTTATTTCTGTGTGCTGCGTTCTGGAGGGTGTTTTCTTGTCTTCCATTTAAAACTTTTTTTTATTTAGCTACATTTCATTTGCTCCTAAGTCCGTCTTAATTTTGATTACTATATTTTTGGATTTTTTTCTTAATATGTCACATTAAATTTCAGAATTTCCAGTTCACTGATGTTTTTAAGTCTGGAATTTATTTCATAAATGTAAAAAGGATAGTTATTTTGTAAACCATGTCTGATCGTTTGAATAATTCGTGTTTTGGAGACTTTTTTGTTGCTTCTCTGTCTTCTATTACTCATTCAGTGCATCTTGTTGCCTTGAAAACCCTTATTTTTCACTGTATGATGGGAATTATATTTTACAAATTATATGGAAGAAATGTTATGAGGATGTCTTCCTCCTGAGAGGATATTCATTTGCTCCTGCAAATAGCAGTGGGTATTATACCAGAAATATCTTAATGTAATGTCAAAGTTGAAGTTTACTCGTACTGTTAAATGGTGCAAAACTGACTGCAAATCTACGTAAGGGCTGGTTTCCTAGCAGCTATTCCTCATACTGAGTGTGGCCTTTCAGATTCTCAGCTCAAAGGGGGCTTGATTTATTAAACCCCTATTCCTGGCAGGTTTTACTTTCTGACTTGTTTGTCGAGCTCTGAGGAATCGTCAACAAAAATGGTTTAGCTTTGTAGCTGCTTACCCAGACTTGACAAAAGCCCTCAGGGGAAAAAAAAAAAAGTGATTTTAAGGGCTTGGTTTATTTCTCTAGTTTCTTATCTTTTCTAGATCTTGATGGTAAACTTCCTCACTACCTTAGAAGTCTTTGATGCTTTCAAGTACTTTTTGACTTCATCCAACCTTTTTGTTGGCTGTCCTCAGCAAGAGGATTGGTCCCAAATACCATGTTAGCAATAAGATACTACGTCAAGATACATTATTTTGTTAGGCTATTTAGAGTCTATAAGATATATAATGATACATATATTATTTTAAATAATAGCTAGGTAATCATCAAAATATCAAAAAAAAATTGGATTCTACTAGTGATTTCCTATGGGGATCAGTATCCAGTACGAGAAAGGTTATAGC